CAAACTCAGCATTATGAGTGAGCGCTTGGAAAAACCTGCACCCTGCGCTCTCTGTCCAAAATTAAAGAAATCTGAATTTAGAGACGAGCAAAGAATTTAAGCTGAACTGAGGTGTGGCTTTCTGCTTCCGCAAAATCCCAATAAAAGCAAAGTCAAGAGAAAGAGAGAGATTAAAGAGAAACAGAGCGGTCAAAGCTCATTTAATACACTATGAATCATACTCTCAAGGTCAAAGAAGCACGATTAAATGAAGTACAGACAGAGGACATCAGATTACAGAGAGACAAAAGCTGTTTTGGCTATTAATTAAAGCGATATAAATCTGTAGGCCGATATTATCAGCATAAAACAGCACTTTGCAGATATATCTGTGGCCTTAAATCCACTTTAATCCATATATCACAGCTAATCCATTGGTTAAATTTCCTAACTTTTGCTGATTATGTTCCAAGCCATGGACATGACTACAGGTGATTGATAAATACAGTTTAGACATTGCTTGTCCAGATAATGCCATAATAGCTACATTTCTTAAATATTCTGAGGCTTGCCTGTGCAAAGTGGTGTTGTAAGTGTCAGGGTAGTATTATGCTTTTTTTTTTTTTTTAGGATTTTCAGCCAGTTTAAAATCTAAAATGGTCCTGTTTAAACATGGAATTAAGATTTGTGATTGGTCAGCCGAGACACTGCTGTTTCTGTTACACCTCTATTTTATGATTGGATTTCAAGTGAATTTGTAACCTATTTCACTATTTCAAGAGGAACTCTCTTTTATTTTAGTGAAGTAGCTGTATTAACTGAATTTTAAATGTTTTTTGTTAGAAAGCTAACAAATCTCAAACCATTTTGGACCCCATTTACACCTGTAACACTGTCCCATTTTAAACTGATGTTAACATGTAAAAACAACCTCATAGAGGCCTACTGGTCCCTAGATATGCTTCAGGACCTATGGAAAGTCTCAGGGTGTATTCACACCTGTCTTGTTTGGTTCGATTGAATCGA